TGGCGGCCAAATTTTCTCTGACAGTTTGGAAAACGGCCGCCGATATTAGTTTTCCGCATCCACTGTTTTCAAAGAATGCTTACCGTAACAGGTAGAATAATTACCGTCCGCTTCTGCCACACCAGCCGCTACGGCCATAGTGAATATTTCTTTTTCAATATTTACGTTACAATCTTTGAAATGTGCCATTACTGTAGGATAGCCGAATTTAACTATACAAGTCGTTTCCACCGTATAGTACGCTTCGATATCTAAAAATTTTGTAGGAACAACGATATTGTCTTTTGCTGTAACTCTGGGTACAGGATAAACACCCACGTGTAAGGATGGTTGTGCCTCAGAAGGTGTGTAATGTGAATTTTTTTTAACGAGTACATGCGATAGTTCTATTAAGGATATATGTCGACCAGAATTCACGTAAGACCAACTTTTTGAGCTTTCGTGTACGGACGTAATGTCCATTGCTTGTTGAGTTATATTTGTAGAACAATATTTGCCTCTTTTAAATTTTGTAATGGCAGAACCACTGGGACAAAAATAATCAGCCTGTTGACATTGATTGTAATTACTATTACTGGTGTCCGGCCAATAGTAGGTCTGATGGCTGTTGACAGGTTTACTCAATAGACTCATTTTTGGGCTATATTCGTAATGTACAATTTGTGTACCTACAGCAGCGTTCAAATCAAATTTATTTATATGCCTGTTCAAACGAGGCCACTGATAACCCGCTTGATTATCTGTATCGGTGTATAGAGTGAAATAATTTTGCAACACTGTAGGTAAATTCATAAAACTGCACGGCAAAGTGTCGTGCGGACTATTAGTACTGGAATACCATGCGTCGTGTTGTTTGGAATACGTGTTAGGTGCTGAGTCCGATACGGATTGCGGTTCCATGGAATTAGAAGCGACCGTAGTGTATTTTCTTGTAGCTCCTGGTATTCTTGGAAAATCAACGTATTCTCCGACTAGTACAAACTACCTACGCCCAGAGCATCAGTTGGCTGATCGGTCACTCCGCCCATACCGCCACCTGTGGCAGTGTATGTACACTACACTGTCGTCGTGTCGTCGTCGTCGAAACCGAAGGTTTGAGCAAGCAT